ATTTATTGTAGAGATGAGGTCTCGCTGCCCAGGCGGGTCTCGAACCCTCAGGCTCAGGCAATCCACTCACCTCAGCCTCCCAAAGGCGCGGGATTACAGGCTGAGCCACCGAGCCCGGCTTCTTTTTATTTTTTATAAGCTATTTTAAGTTTACTTCATACATGTGTTTTTCTTTTGCAAGTTCCTCCATTGCTTTTATGCTTAGGAAATGTTTTTTTTTTCTTTTGAGTGAGAGTCTTACTCTGTCACCCAGGTTGGAGTGCAGTGGCACGCTCACAGCCACCCCAGCATCAACCTGCTGGGCTCCGGAAATCCTTCCGCCTCAGCCTTCCAAGTAGCCGGAACTACAGGTGTGGGCTACCACACCTGGCTAATTTTTTTGATATATCGTAGAGACGAGGTCTCACCAAGTTGCTCAGGCTAATCTCAAACCCCCGGGCTCAAGCAATTCTCTCGCCTTGGCCTCCCAAAGGGCTGGGATTACAGGCTTGAGCCACTGTGCCTGGCCAGGAAATATTTTCACTTATCCTAAATTTGATAAAATTCACTTGTTGAAAAAAAATTATATTTTTTGGCGTTTTCTTTCTTACAGCAAGACGTAAAGATTTACTTTTTTCCCCCCAGATAGCTTACGGTCTCTACTAATACCTGTAACCAATAATCTTTCTCTAGGCAGCAAAAACCTCTCAAGTGCAGTTGGCAGTGTTCTTTCTTATGTCCGGCCTCACTTGAGATGTTCCCCATGGTGTGGCTATAGGTAGCACACCATGTCACTTCTGTGACACAAGGGGGGCACAAAAGTCTCTGGAAGACGAATACCCGACTTCCCAAAGCAAAGGCCAGTCTTTCTCCTTCCCGTGGAGGGCTCTCCTTTCAAGAAGAGAAAGGGAAGAGAGCAAAGGCCTTTACACAGCCTGTTCTACTCTGGTCAGCAGTAATTCTTCAGCAACAAGGAGGGACCAACCAGCTCCTTTTCCACAGCAAGTTCCCCATTGCCCAGACTCAAGCCTAACCTGGGTCAGCATTGCTGCTGCCCTGAGATACTCCTCTGTCAACAGTGTGACGCAAACTGCAAGGTGGACAGCCTTGAGCCCTCTGCTGCCAAATACATGCACTAAAGAGAAAAACACGAGAAACTTAGCAAATCACTAAGGGACTCTAAAAACATTAAAGTGTTTGCACATTTAGGTCCACCAACAACCTAGGCGTGTACAAAACGAGTTGGGAATAAAATTCACCAGATGTCAAAGCCAGAAATACATATCAATAAATTCAGGAAACTCCTAAGTTTGGCAAAACTTTATCCACTAGGAGATAAGTAAACAGTTTTTTAAAAGTATATAAATGTAAGTTTGCTGTAATATAAAAATGATTAAAAATGAAAAAAAACACAAAAATGCCTTTACCTTTTAGTGCACTGTCATTGGCCCCAAAGAAAATTGTAACTGCTACTGGGCTGTCCAAACTGTTTCCTTTCCTGATTAATCTTGGAAGGATAATTTTGGCCCATCTGGTATTATAACCTGAGAATCCACGATTCAGAACATCACATTTTCTGAGATGAAAAAATTTTAAAGATGAATTATAGGTGAAAGTGTTTATAGTCCCGGTAGCCAACCTCTAGTGAGAGCGCTCTCTGGGCTTCTAATCCCATCACAAGATTCTGACCCACCCCAGGTTTCACTGATAAGAGCAAGACTGTAGCCGAAGCATGCTAACCTTTCTTCAGCTGTTCAAAGATACAGGTAAATTTACATTCCTCAGTGAAAAAAGTTATAAATAATTGCATGTGAAAGAGCTATGATTTAGTCTGTAGACTGGTTTCATGCATGCAACAGATATTAACCTGAGCAAGTATCTTAGGTAAAAAGTCATTAATAGGCTGGAACTCAAATGTAACCATGGTTTAGTTTGGGATAAGTGTACAGAATGTTTTTGAGATTTTTGCTTTTGATTCAATAATTTTAGTAAATACATCAGTTGTGTTTCAATTTAAACCAATTCATTAACAGGCATTTTCTTCCCCTTCTTAGTTCGATTCATAGTACTATATGGTATAATGGAAACACCAACCCTGGATCTTAAGCCGGTTGCCTGGGTTGCATGCCAGCTCCACCACTGACTAGGTGTGGCCCTGGGCACTGTTACCACTTCACATGTAAAGTGAGGCTAATCACAGTTCAGGATTACATGAGGCAATATGTTTAAAACCCCTTAGATGACACCAGTCATGTGAGAGGGGCTTTTTTCTCTTAAAGTAAACTTGGTAAAATGGTATGATCTGAGACTGACTTCAGAAAAATCCATGGTAGGAGGGACAGATGGGTTTATATTCTTAAATATCTGTAGATATTTAAAGTCAATAGTAAGATGTTCTCTTAAAATAAAATGCATATTGGGCTCAACTTATGATTAGCAAGTTGGTGTGATTCATTTTGGTGTGTGGTCCAGATTTCTGCATCTAAGCAACTGAGCAGAGAAGCTAGTGCACTAATGAATAACTCTGCAGGCGACAATGCCAGGCAGTGGACTCCAGAGAAAGCAGTAGGAGGGGACACATTGTTATGACACCACACTGACAGGTTTCAGGTAACATTTATAAATAGGGAGACAACAATAACAATCTTACTTCTTTCTTTTTTTGAGCTGGAATCTTACTCTGTCGCCCAGGCTGGAGTGCAGTGGCACGCTCATGGCCACCACAGCCTCAACCTGCTGGGCTCAGGTGATCCTTCTGCCTCAGCCTTCCAAGTAGCTGGAACTACAGGCATGCATCACCATGCCTGGCTATACAACTATACTTCTAAGTGAGATTCTGAGTATTTTTATGTTGTAATAAATTACAAAAGCCACACAGTCCTCTTAAAGACTCCAATCACAGTACTTTAAAATGAAGTGCTCTAGAATTTTGACAAAATAGTCTGTCTCTCATCCACCCAATGATTTGGTCACCACAGCACTTATAAAACAAAAGATCCAGCCTGGGCAACTTGGCGAAACCTCATCTCTACAATAATTCAAAAAAATAATTGGGCGTGGTGGTGCACACCTGTAGTTCTAGCTTCTTGGAAGGCTGAGGCAGAAGGATCACCTAAGCCCAGCAGGTGGAGGCTGTGGTGGCCGTGAGCGTACCACTGTGCTCCAGCCTGGGTGACAAGGTGAGACTCTGACTCAAAAAAACAAAAGGCAAAACAGCTTCCTACCACAGTGTGGTATAGCAGCAAAATTGCAAGTTCTGGTCAGGTACAGCAGCTCACGCCTGTAATTCCAGCACTTTGGGAAGCTGAGGCAGGAGGATTGCTTGAGTCCAGAAGTTTGAGATCAGCTTGGGCAACACAGTGAGGCCTTGTCTATACAAAAAATTATTAAAAAACAAACAAAAATGGCAAGTTCTATAATCATGGTGGCTGGTGCCTAGATCTTTCTGTCCCTGACTAGCAACCAGGCATGGCTATTTACTTATTTCTCTGAGTCCACTCAGCCCTCAAAGATGAACCCTATAATACCTAGTCTGTCAGACTGAATGAAGATTAAATTTTCTGTTCCTCTTCCCATATATACCCAGGAAAGGTAAGTGAAGATTAACAAAGGAGAAATTTTTCTGGTATTTAAAACACTCTTTTTCTGAGATAATGACATCGTCCATTAGTAAGTACTCAAGTATCAATCTAGAAACCATTCTCACCTGACCAGCTTGTCGGCCAGTGACGCTCCCCATCCACCCTGCTGAAAAGAAAACTGAAGAAAAGTCCATTACTACTTATCAATATAACCAGAACATTCTACTAAGGGCATTTTTGTTTTTTAACCAGCAGCTCCCCTTTTGTCGTGGCCTTCATCACTTGATTCACTCAAAGGTCATGTTGGTGATTTTGTTTTTGAGCTAGGGTCTCTCTGCAGCCTCAGCTCCTGAGCTCGGGCGATCCTTCCGCCTCAGCCTTGATGCTGGGTTCACAGGAGCCCGGCCTCTTTTGGGGATTACATGTAGCTACACCTGGCAGCAAAGTTACTTAAAAAAAAACATGTTCAAGAGATAAAAATTAGTGGATGTGGTGGTGCATGCCTGTGTCCCAGATACTCACAGGCTGAAGTAGCAGGACTGCCTGAGCCTAGGAGGTCAAGGCTACAGTGAACCATGGACAGAGCTGCTGCACACTGCACTCCACCATAGGTGACAGTGAGACCCTGACACACACACACACACAAAAATCAGCTGTGTGTAGTTCAGTTAGGAAATAAAGTCCATGCTATAATACTTCTCCATGGTTGAGAGAGTAAGGAAATTCCCGGCTTTATTGATTACAGAACTCAGGGTGAACATCTTCTGATATACACTCCCATGGAATTTAGAAAGCCCTCACCTCTCCAGATGCCTAAAAATAATATTACCAATTATTGGCATATACACAAAAAACTGCTTGAGAAAGTCATGCCTGAATGTTAGAAGAGACAGGTGCACACACACACACCGTGAGGAACATACTTGAAAGAATTGTTCCTTAATGGAAGCTGGAATGATCTTGGATAAAACGCTTATCTTTTTTTTCCTTTTTTTGGTGTGTGTGTGTGTGTGTGTGTGTGTGTGTGTTGGAGACTCACTCTGTCGCCCTGGCTGGAGTGCAGTGGCACAATCACCGCTACCACAGCCTCCAACTCCTGGACTCAGGTGATCCTCCCACCTCAGCTTCCCCCTAAGTAGCGGAGATACAGGTGACTGCCACCACGCCAAGCCAATCTGCTAAAATGTTTGCGGAGCAAGGTCTAGCTATGCTACCCAGGCTCTCCTCTAACGCCTGGGCTCCCAAAGTGGGGGGATTACAGGCATAAGCCGCCTGGCCCGGCCTCTCCTTTATTCTCAGAGGTATTTTATTTTCAAGATCAACTCTAACTGGCCAACCTGTTCCCCCAGAAGAGGCGCAGAGGTGAATCGGTTCCAGGCACCTTCCGCAGGAACAGGCAGTACGAACAAAAGCTGCGGGAAGTGAACCAGGCGACTCCTCGAAGGAGGCCAGTTCGTGCCCGGAGCCCCGACCCCACGTTTTTGGGAAAAAGAGAACGGTCACCGCCAAGGAAGACACCAGGACGAAAACAAAGCACCTCGACTTGTACCAGGCTACCCTAAACTCCCTGTGAAAACGATGCAGAATGGAAAGCGCTTCGGACTGCGTGCGTTCGGCTTTGGCCCCCGCGAGACGTGGCCAGGCAGTCTCCTCGCCAGGCAGTCCCCCTCTCTCCTGAGAGACACGGTTCTTTCTCCTTTGTTCCGAGTCGGAGTCTCACCCGGGTTGCCCAGGCTGGAGTGCAGTGGCACGGCCCGCTTACGGCCACTGCAGCTTCGACCCGCTGGGCCCCGGCGATCCTTCCGCCTCAGCCTTCCACGTAGCTGGAACTACAGGCGCGCGCCACCACACCCGGCTAATTTTTTGATTTATTGGAGAGACGGGGGTCTCGCCAAGTTGCCTGGGCTGGTCTCGAATCCCTGGGTTCGGGCAGCCCTCTCGCCTCCACCTCTCAAAGTGCTGGGGTGACAGGCGTGAGCCACCGCGCCCGGCGAGACACGGTTCTTTCTAAGCACGAATGCAAACACGTGTTCTACCCCGAGCGCCGCAGCGTCACCGTCCAAGGCACCGCGACCCCCGAAGGTGTCAAGCGCCAGGCGGGTCTCACCGCCAGGGCGTGGCGGAGGGCGCCGAGGCGGCCAGGACCCGCCGTTCCTCTGGGGCCGTTACTGGAGGCCGCGGGCTTGACCAACAAGCCTCCGCCTCTGCCGCCTTCGGAGGCGCAGGAAGGAGGCCCTGGGGACCTCGAGACCGAGCCGACGCCAGCGGACGGTGAGGAGAGCCAGGCCAGGCTCAGCGGCGACCCCGCCTGGAGGGCGGAAGAGTTCGAGGACGTGACGGGGCCGACCGGCGCTGGG